ACCACAGCGTCTAGGCAAACAACTGAAGACGGTTGGTCGCCGTCAAAATGAACCATTTGGGCGTCTCTGGCGCCGATGTCAGTCGTGTCGCCTGACTAAACTTCGTATGAAGCCCTGCTGTCGGCTGACGACAGCCAGAGGCAGTCACATGAGAAAAAGTTGACTAGCATCATTGATTGACTGAACCAGTCACTGCGAGGGCTGTTACAAGTGCAAGTTCAAGTGTAAATGAGAGATATGAGAGATCGAAGGGGGGGGGGACAAAAACGGTGGCAATAATAGGACCAGCTCTGACACAACAAACGCGGTTGGCGATGCTACTGCGAGGCTAGGAGCTGTCGGTAACCCTTTTCCCTCGTCAACGTTCTCGCGGCGGACGATGGCGCTGTCGAAACCTGATTTAACTCTGCTATCCCACCCACACCTGTCCGCGATCCGGGGCCCCGCATGCTCGGCTGGGTGATGGCCTAACTGGTAAGGTTGTCACTGACTGAAGGTTAAAACTACCGACAGGAATGTATTCCTGTCTGGGTCTGAGAGTGACGATTGTCGGACTCACATTCCAGTCCCGTGTCCCTAGCCTCCTTCTATAGGATGGCTAGTTAATAAGGATATGTGAACCAGAAACAGTTGTTCCCGTTGGTTGAACGTTACAATCACTTGCTAGCTTTTTAATTTTCCAAGAAATCGGTCGCCATCGTGGAGTAAATCAGCCCTAAGTAAGCTTTTTAGGCTCAGACCAAAAGTTGATATGAATATCTGGACCGGAGTCCATCAGCCTCAGCGGGGTAACCGCGTTATATTCATAGACTACTTACCGGCAGCAAGTAGTATGTGCGTGGGTTGCACGACACAGCATACTTGATAGCACAGGTACACGTGCTTTGCCGATATTCTACCGGTCCGGCTTATCAGTGGGCCACCCGGCGCTTCTCGTGTGTTTTCTGGTAGGTACTCCAGTTTTGAAATTGAAGCTTTTCTAATTTCCTCAAAAAGCAATTGTTAACTCGAAGTAGATCAGTTGGTCTGAGTCTGGAAAGTTTAGTTCAGACTGATTTATGCCAAGTTTAGCGATCATCAGAAAGCACATAGGCAACGCTGGGAGCTCTTCTGATGAACCGAACCCTTCGTAGTTGCGTCACGCAGCGACAGAATATCGACGAAGGACGTGTCAGGGCGCATATCTGGTATCTGTGCTGTGAAGTATGCTGCAGCATGTATCCCATGTTACTATCATTCCTCTTGCTGACATAGAATGCCCACAGTTCGACCGACCGGCTTCACAGCAAACACAATTGAGCCGCTCTTCCGCAGTCCTCACATTAGCCATCAAGGGGTATTTGTTCCCGGAGGGAATCCTAGTATGTTATTACAACCCTTACACTAACCATCAGTCATGACTTTACTACTGGAAAATCACTGAAAAATAACCGAATTTAGCAGACTGAGGACGGGAGACACCATGAGTTCTCTCGGAGGATATTTTCATACACTCGAATGCGCTTGATAAGTTTCGCACGTGTGAAATTCAGACTGTTTTATTTATCCAACGGGACCTTATACCAACCTCCTGATTTCTTCAATTTCTTTTCTTCAGTTAAAGGGCGTCGCGAACATGCTTCGGGAGGGGGTCCTTGCGGCCGGATATGTGGTAAGTGAATATATAACTCCTCGAGATTTGCTCGCCACCCGTCAGTGGGCAAATACTTTCGGAAATTGATTTTAAAATGAAGAATACATGCATGGGTTGCCGGGACCATCAGGAAGTTTGCGGCTTCAAATCCACACAGGCTACCACTCCCTCCCTCCCACCGGAGACGGTAAAAATGCAAATTAGGGCCTCATGGCACGTGACCTTGGCGTAGAACGTGAGTGGGTTCCCTGGTGTTTAGAAGATGGATGGATATGCCAGTTTGTGGGTTTACTAATTGGCGTCCAGACCTCAAGCAGCCTTCTACCTGTCTTGTTGCGATTCACCTTATCATCGTTATATCTGTGTTTGCGGTAATGAATTTATGACCTGTCTCTGGGGTCTGGGGGATGGCGGGTCACTCCCGTGCACCATCAGCCTGTGCTTATGCATTTGCAAAAACAGTCTTATTGTGATCTGACCAGTGTAGATTGGAGGACAACGACGGCATGGAACGGCATCAGGTTGTTCACCGGTCCTAACGGCAGCTGCCAAGCTGGCGTCGTATATACAGTAGGTATGCTAACTCTACATGAAGGAAGGGTATAATTCGGTCTTAAAAAAGTTTCTAATTATGCGATTTTCTAAGACCGTGAAATGCCCGTTCATAAGGCATCGTGTCTCTGCATTTACCAACGCCACTTCTAAGGTATGCAATATAGCTTAAACCTACCGCAAACGTTTATCGAATCCATATGGCCTACTCTCACTAACGTACAGAAATGTAGGATTTCTCGTACATGGAAAATATGCAGCTTGTATTTGGAGACCCTTAATGCAAGTGTAACGGCAGGTCGGCTTCAAAATTATTCAGGAATTGGAAAAGTTTTCTAAAACCGAATTATGCCCCCGCCCCTCAGGTATAAATTTTGAAGACGCACTTTTCTACCAAATGAGTAAAAGAATGAATGTTTCTATACATGCTTTCCACGATATATATTTGAATTTATATGGGCGTCGAAAATCAACGAGAAAAATTCATGCTACTTAAATGGTCATTTTTTTACAGCGTGTAGTCTTTGCAGGCGGCCAGAAAGAAGTTCGTTCAAAAGCTGGCATCCCAAAACAACTGCGTTATTCTGGGATTATGCTGCCTTTTAGTAATCTTTTCGAGTCGAAAACGCATTTCAGAATTTCGGCTAACGTTTCATGAGTTAGCACATCTACTGTGCCTGGCTCTGCGGCAATGCGTTCCAACACCGCAGGGGCATTACTGTTGTGTGGCGGTGAGTGCCCAAGTCTTCGTGGACCAGTGTTGGGAGTGCGTTCGCCGATCAGGTTGCGGTACGTGCTCGTCTCGTGGCGCCTTTGAGCTCTATCCAGAGCCCTCACAGGCCCTCAACGAAGGACAAGACAGTCTGGGCTGGTTGTTTCCGACTTATTAGCCACATTCAGCCAGCCATACCGAACTCCAGCCTTAGGCAACTTGTGGTTCGAGCCGAACTTCTGGACCATCGAACGCTAAGGAGTCCAACGCCCTACCATTGAGCGAGGACTCTAGATTCACCCCCAAGGCGCAACGAGGCAAGCGCGCCTGCAAACTGGCTGTGGGAACTCCCCCTCACCACAGTTGGTGTTCCCGATGGCAATCAACGGGATAACGGGCCTGTGATTTAGTGTTAGGCTTAAAAACGCTCAATGACAAAGGAATCCGAGTTTGAATCCCAGGTTATTCAAACCTGGGGTTCGGTATAGCTAGCTGACGACGTCCGACCAGCCCAGTCTCCCCTGTCGGTTTTCCTTCCATTAAAGCAGATGGGTTATTTTTATGAGAGAAACCCCGATTATGTCTTAAGATAAACCTCAGGGATGCTGAACTTCAAGGAATCCTTGCAGCTGGTGAAGCTATGGTCGGTTGACTGTGTGCCTATCAAGCGGGGTTTACGATGGAATAATACCGCCTAACGCAGTCATTTGCACGATCAGTTCCTACCTTCAGCTGGAGAAAGTGTCTGCTGCGCCTATAATCCGGTTTTCTTCCATTTCAGACCTCAAACATCTTAGGCTGGAACGTTAAAAAGTGAAGATACTCACGTGCTTCTCTCTCTTCCTCTCTCTGTCTTTCCCGCAATTCCTGAAATTCTCCCACCTCACCTTTCCTTTTGGGCTGTTTTATGCTAGTGTACATGCCTGCTCAATAAACTAGTTCTTTTTCGACATCCTCTTCTCATTTTTTCGACTCTTTACACAGCATCACATGAAATGACTGCATGTTGCCTCTTTTTGTAGCCCCCGTATCAGGACTTATCACTAAAACTTGCATCACAGGCAGTATAGCCGTCTGGCAGAAATGGCCTACGGCTTCCGCAGCAGTGTCTGGGACCCCGTTCTCATTATCAGCCAGATCGTCTGCATTCAGTGTCTATACTACGGCGCTGCAGGAGCCCTGCTAGCCCTTCTGAGTCCCCTTTCCAGTTGGCAGACCAGCCTCAGCCTCCTCTTCGATGATGAGGAGTTGCGTTTCCGTGATCTGCAGGGCCGTTGCCTCATTGCGGTCTTCCTGCTTGCGGCCACAGCCTGTGCTTTGGGCCTCTGGCGTCTTGTGAAGCGCACCAAACTCTGCCTCGACTTTGCCTGTACTCTGCACTTTTGGCATCTAATCTTCTGCTGGGCCTACAACTCCTCCTTCCCGGTCTCCGTTGCTTGGTGGCTCACTACCATCATCTCCATTATCCTAATGACTGTGTTGGGCGAATTTCTGTGCATGCGCAGTGAAATGAAGGCCATTCCCCTGGGCGGAGGTGGTGCAGGCTCTCACAGGAGTGCCGTCTAATTGCCCAGACCTTGTTATTGGTACCACTGCTTTTTGTTCACGTGGATTTTCCGCCTTATCCATGGCGTCATTCCTCGTTCCCCCGACCCCTCCTCCCTCCCCCCCCTCCCAACCACAAGAGTGGCTGCTGCTGCCATTCGCCCGCCCTAATTTCGGTCATCTGTCAAGGCGCGCACGTGTGCACTGCTTTTCTGCGCCCGTCGCCGTGCGCGTACATGTCCAATCATGTTCCATCCAACTACCCTCAAGTCTTTCCCACGAGCGTGATAATTGCAAACATCCTTTTTCGAAGGCTTTCCATCTTTCCCATTAACTGACTGTGGGACCGCACGCTTGTGGATGGTAGGTTTAAATAAATTACGACGGCTTGGGAGACAGTTGCTTGCGGGGGATCTGCTGTTCGGCTGCCACGCCAGGTGGGACATTTATGCAGAGGCTTACAATTTCGTTGAATAGGTGACTTTGGCATAGAGTCCTCGAGATAGGACATTTAGGCTCCTCCACAAAGTTTACGTAAGCATTAGGTTGCTTACTGAAACCTACAGCGGCATACCCAACGTTTTGACCGTCGTTTCCGATGGCGTCTAGCGTGTGCTCAACGACAGGGTGGAAGCAGGGACGGGAACTTGTGTGTGAGTTCTTTTATAGTGATGGCACACTTGCACAGCATCTAAAGCACTTACTCTTACCCACCTGGACCCGGTGTCAAGAGGGGGCCAAGAAGACCGGTGGCGGGAGAGGGAGCAGGTGGCTAGCACTGCGAAAACCCGCACCTAGGTGTACCATCACGCCCTCCGGTTCACAAAATACACTGACCAAGATTTTACACAAAGAGAAGAGGTGAGGGCGGGTCGTGTTCTGTTTAGTGCGGTATGCGCCTGCACCCGGACGCGTCCTCACGCCCTTAGTCTTGACATTTGACAGTGATGCGCATCCCACCAACGCCTGCCGTACCCTGACCTGGCTTCGTGTTGGTCCAACGCATTTACTGCGTGGCTCGTTTTAGGAGGCACAGCGGACATTGGCACTAGCCAGCGATCCATGTATCACACATCTGTGGTTGCATGGTGCAACCGCGCGCCGTTCGGCTCATCAATTGGTCCCCGGTGTGCTGCGTCGCCCAGCGGCAGCACCGTCGGCGAACTATGTCACAGAAGTTTTAGTGAGTGCCTAGAATCATTAGCCAAGCTGAAGTATCACGTCTGAAATAGTGAAGTACGGTTTCGCTTGGGAGAAATTACTTGGGTGAGGTTGCAGTGCCCACTAGCATACACCATCGCGAGGCATTTCACACATGCCTGGGGTGCTGTCTCGGGAGTGTGCTCGCTAAAAGTGGTTTCACTGATCATCCCTATCTTTACAAATCTAAACTTGCGGGAAGTACACACTAGAGCGCATCTTTTGTACTGCTCCCAGAGGAAGGCATTGTTTTAAACCTTCCTGATAATAGGCTATCTTTACAACATTCTACCGGTCACCAGGTTCTTTTCGGCCCCGTTTATGTTCTGGTCTTTCGTATTATAAAGCGTACACTTTCCATTAAGAAGATGCTATCTAACGTCATAAATTTCTTCAACGAACATGGTTCACGTTGTATTCTCTAAATTCAGCGTTAATATGCGTTCAGTTACGATACTTCATGCGCGACCTGTCCGTGTTATCTAAATCTTCCGAATGCTTTTGCGGAGCTCCTCGTAATCTTCTTTGAAAGTCTGTTTATCTACTATGGAGTAGTTCCGAATGAATTCTGTTGAGGTGTTGGATACTTTGCTTTTATTGACTAGAATGGAGGTCTGAGCGGGTTTCGCAAAAGGGGTCTCTTAACCTAGGAAATGCTCAGTTTAAAACTGAAAATAGCAGGGTTTTCTTAACCGAATAGCCAAGACAGTAATGGTACTCTCTGCACAATTGTGGTCTTAATCGATCTACCCCCGATTGCCTGGACGACTGCTGCGTCTCACTGTCCCGCACTTCTGCCCTACAGTATTCGCAGGCGGTTGTATCGTGTCAATCAGTCGAGTGAGTGCGGCGTACGCTTTGCAAGTCCGCCTCGCTGACCTGTGAGTCACCGGCGTTGCTCCTACTTCGTGTGGCGCACTGTAGACGTCATTTGCGATTGTCGAACTGTAGTGTGCATCTGGCTATTGTAAGTTATGGATTTGTTTTATGATTTTCGCATCGTGATGCTGGTCGTCTTTTTGATTTGTTCTCTCTCGGGGCCCGATGCTTGCCAAGCATGCGGTCGTCTACATGGTTACAGTTGAGACCTCATCTTGGAGACTACGAGCAGGCGGCACCAGTCATCGGCCTGATTACCGGCACGTCGCTCTGGTCTGCCCGTCTGAAAACGACGACGTAGTACTGTGAGGTTGTATGCACGTCGTCATCTCCCGGATCAGAAGAATGTGTTGGTCAGGAGGAGACTGTAGTCCGTACGCGTCTTCAGGAGAAAAGGTTGCCCCTGGGTCTGCCTCTCGTGACGACGTGGTTCTCCCAGGTGACGTGGTCTGTGCTAACGCGAGTACTAAAGTCACCAAGGACAGTTAATTTGTCCGCCTTCGACACATTCACTAAGAGTGCATGCAGTTTGTGGCATTTATTCATCACGTCGTGCGAGCAGGTCACGAAGGGGGACGGGGACAAGGTCGGTAAACGCTGACGATGTTGGCGAATTTCCGCTAAGCACCAGTCTCATGGTCATTAGTCGCTAGCTGACGCCATGGGGAAGACGGGACGATCCTTTTACGAGGTTTTACTTGTCAAAGTCGGTTCTAGTGTCCCGCTGCTCTGTACTTGAACGTCCGATCCAGAGGAAAGTGCACTCCTCCGGCTAGCTCTGTTCAGAAAAGCGGCCCTCATTGGGAGTGGCAATGCCCTCTTTGTAGTGGGCCAGCTCCTGAGCGGCCCGAACTGTCCTCCTTTCCGGTCTGTCTGCCATTAGGTTGTCCAAGCTGAGTGAAGTTTAGAGGCTGCCAGGGTGGGCAGTGTCACCCGGGCACTCGGATGAGGGCGGAGGTGGTTGCCTTGTGTACTGTTTCGATCACATTTTTTTACTCGACAGGCCAAGATTAGCTCACTGGCGGCGTATTTTACCAGCAGTTCTTTAAGGCACCTTTTCAAGCACCCTCGGTAGGGAGTAAACAGCGCTACCGACAGATGCGGATGCTGATTAACCCTGGGCGGCCGCCGAATTCGACTGTAGGTCACGGTATTTGTTTAGCAGGCCGCCCGAACCGACCGGTTATCGGGGCCTTACTGCCATCCTGATAACGGCTCAAAGAAGGGAGATTCATATTGGGCAGTGAACGGATGTGGATGATTTGCTGATTACGTGAGCCCGGTAGCCATCTGGTGGATTGTGGATGGATTACTCAGGAAATCCTGCTTGTATCAGATTTGGTGGATTCCATGCGTTACAGTAGGGTGGGAGGGTAACTTGACCCGAAAGTGATTAAATTCACGGCTCCCGATGGGTCTCGTAGCTCAGGTAGCTAGATCGCTGGCCCTACTCAATCCTTATCCTTGTTGTTGTGCATTCGGATCACTCCGATGTCACTGAGTTTTTCACAGCTGAGTCAAAATAAATAGATGACTGGATTATCATTTTATCGGATGGTAGGCAACCTTAGGAGCATTTATTCCATGCTCGGAATGAGTGACAGAATACGGCCGTAGCTGTCGCAAGTGCGTATTACACAGAATATGCCCAAGAAATCCAGGGCGTGCCTTCTGGAGGTATGATGGAATATCCTAGATTTGACGGTTCTTGACTGTAGACTTTTTAGGTAGTTGCAGCAACTGTCAACGGGTTGTGAGACCCGTTTGTTCTGGCGTTGGCGGTGGGACAAGTACCTGACATTTCAGTGCTATTTGATGCCAGTACTGCGCCGGTGTTGGTTCGGTTTGTCCAAACTTGATTGTGGTACTTAGGCTTCTTGGAGTGAAGTCCATTGGCGATCGTTGTGCTCGGTTGCGATCCCGCGAGTGTTTTTTTATGGCACCAAAACCTGGTTCTACTGGTTTTTTAAGCTGTGTCTGCGTGCAACTCCAAATCCGGCTGGCGTGAGAAGGCGGCTGACGGCTTCCGCGGGGTTCTTCACGTGCGAGAGCGTGCGTCAAGATTTTGGGCTAGTTGAAATTTGTCTATTATAGCATTAATGCATGCACCGGCTGGCGAAGTTGCGCGGGTAACCATTCGCTTTAAGCGCCCGTGGTAGATAATTTTAAGATCCGCGCGGGAACTATCACGCGTCAGGTCATGAGGCCAAAATATCCACCGCCACGATGGGAAGCGTTTGGAGTCGTTTACCGGACTCGGTACAGTTGCAGACAAAAAAACTACGCGGGAGAAACTGACAAGCTACTCCGAACGCGAGTGGCCGAGAATGCAGCGGCAATGAGGGGAAATGACACAGGCCCCCAGGCTGCGGTTCATACGATGGGACGCAGCCAAGCCTTCAAATTTGACTAGGCCGAAATTCTCGCATGAGACGATAACGATAAGTCACCAGCTGCTTGAGTCATGATTCTTCGACCGTACTCAATTATCAAGCGCAATGACCTTCCGCCTCCATATTCTGTGCTGCGATTTCGTCTGAGCAAAATAACTTGCCACGCGTGGAGGGCGCGGACAACCGACAGTTCCGGTGACAGTGAGTTAAATGGCTGAGTAGTCGTCACTTAAAGAATCAACAATGGTGATGAAGTCACAGTACTTAACTACTCGTGTACGGATCAACAAGTAATCACCGCATGAAATACGAGCATCAGCAATGGACACGCGTGCAGCTATTTTTTGCGGACATGTGGTTAAAGTACGCCTGCGTCCTTTGAATACTGTACCCCTTGTGTCACCACTACCCTTTTGCTCCGACTGTCTCCGATGGTGGGTTCGAGAGGGAATTCGAAAAGTCGGACCGGTAAACTTCTTGCTCCCGCAATCGCATCTTCGTCTTCTGAGCTGCTTCCTGGAACTCATCTGTTCGCTTCTATCAACCGTT